CCTTCACGCTTCTCCCGATCTGTGCGACCGGTCTTCCCCTCCAAGGCCCCTTCTCTTTGGTGCTCTATATGGTGGTCACACTCTGAGGTCATCATGGACTATGAGGAACTCCGGAGGATGAACTCCTGGGGGAATTTTAAAAAAAATCTAAAAACTAGACTTACTGTGGAGTAGACTTGTGCGCCGTCAAAAAAAAATTTCCGTTTCGTTTCATTCCGTTTCGGAATATCCATATTTCGTAATTCGTGTCCGAAACTCAATTCGGATTCGTACGAAATACAAATTTTCGTTAGTTTCGGCACATTTTCGTAACTGTACGAACATTCGTTATGATGAAGTTAAAAAGCAAAAATACCTTTGTTAATATTGGAGTCGATGTGGTAGTTGTTTTTTTATCCGAAATACGAATTCCGTTAACGGATTCCGGATCCGAATTTCGTGTTTCGGATTAAAAAAAACTACCATCAACTCCAATATATTAACAAATGTACTTTGCTTTTTAACTTCAATATAACGAATGTCAACGGAATTTCGTATTTTCTGCCTGTATTGTAATGCAACCCTCAGCAGCAGCGGATCCGTATTTCGTATTAAAAAAAAAATCTTGTCATGTTGTTCAACCTCATTTACAGGGGTAATATTAGTTCCCGTTTCAATGAAATTCGGATCCGAAATTCGTTAACGGAATTTCGTATTTCGGATATAATTCGGAAACTGCGATTCGGATTTCGGATGCTTCCGAATTTACGAATTTCAGGAAAATTCGTACGAATTTCGATTCGTAGCGAAACGAATCGCACATGTCTACTGTGGAGCTCCCACCCCCCTGCACTGCAAGGGTTATATGCTAACTTTTGCCTTGCATACCATTAAAAAGCACTTTTAGTTACCTTCAGGCTTCCTCCCCTCTGTGCGACGTCATCATCATGTACTCCGGGCAACTCCTGAAGAAGAACGCCTGGGTAAATATTATTTTTTTTGTTGTTTAAACTAACCTTGCAGTCTAGGAGGGAAAGGGGGGGGCGGTGGTAGGGGGGTGCAATGTAGATCGCATTTGCTCATGCTTACTTTCCCCCTAGGGTACCATTGAAAAGCACTTTTACTTACCCCTTATCCCCCGCTCCTCTGGGCGTCCAGCTCTACATGCAACTGGTCCCCTCACTTCTCTTCTCTTTGCTGCTCCATCTGGCAATTGCACTCTGATGTCATCACGTACAATTCAGGACCAGCAGTCCTGCATGGTAAGTGAGAATGCCAAGGGCCCGCCCAGGACCTGGAGCATCGAAGAGCGCTGGCTGCCAGGAGAGTGAGGAATAAGGTACAGCTGCTCTTAAATGGCAAAAATCAGCATTTAACCCTTGCAACGTAGGGGGTGCCCCATCTGCAAGGGCAGTTTTTTTATTTCCCCGTAGTTCAGCTTTAAAATGAAACCCATCTATCTGTTTTATCCAATTAACTATTGATCAAGAACAATACTATGAGTCTATCATCTTCGAATCTACTTTCCTTACGTTTTTTATGATGCACAACATATTTTTAATATCTTTCATTCTATTTATACACCCATTGTCATCATTCCCCTTAGCCCCCCTCCATGGTTGTAGGCATGTCACATTTGACCATGGCGTGTGTGTGCTGATTCAGAGAGTGACGCTTTGCATCCATTCTCCTCCACCCCCACTCCTTCCTGTGACTCATCCCACGTCAAATAATGGAGCTGCCCTTTACACCGGCTTACATTCTGCTCTGCATTGCTCCTGTGTGGGAGATCATAAGCATTGCTCTAATTATCCCCCATCCTATACCCCGGTGATGTCTGCCGTCCCTCAATATCCTGCAGTAGCTCAATGGTTGACGCTCTGTATTACCATACACTGACAATTCAGACAGCACAGAGGTTCAACAATGCAAATTGGGTGGATTAAAGTATATCAGAACTCCAGAAACAAAATGGGATATATTGCAGCTTACCAGTCCTTAGATGTGGTGGGTAGATTATTTTTCTCAGGTTTATTTTCCAGCAATTCTGCCAGTAACACACTGGAAAAAAAACAGGTGTTGGGAGGGGGTGTTCTGTAGTCCTGTGTCCTATGTGACAACACATACCCGTTATGTCATGTAATACTTCATTATGGTCACTAGATGGAGCTGAGGAGCATAGGAAATAAATATGTATTCCCTGGGCTCCTCAGCTTCATCTAGTGGTCAAAACGTAGTATTACATGGCAATACATTCAAACTGGAAAAACGATATATTAAAGGACATTTGATCCAAGATTTAGAAATGTTAACCCTTGCAGTGGTCTACCTCCACATTGCATGGGGTTAAGTGCTTGTTTTTCTCTAGAGGTACAAAGGAGAAATACTCACCTGGTCCCCGGTCCTGCAGCAGTGACTGTGGTGTATCGCTTGGTGGCCTGTATGAGACGTGGTGACACCACGGGTCCTTAGATCGCTGGAGCCTGTGGGAGAAGAGGCTGTGGGGACCGATCTAGCAGACGAGTGGGACCAAGAATGAGTATTTCTTCTTTATTTTCGCCCCCAAGACAAAATGAGCACTTAACCCTTGCCGTGCAGGGATAGCGCCAATGTAAGGGTTAACTTTTAAAATTCCTGGCATTAACATTCATTTTTGCATTATTCACCCAAAACGAAGGTCCCTGCAAATTGTTGCTATATGGACCCCCATGAGTACTGTTCATGTCCTTTTTAGTTTTGTTCATGAATTTATCATTGTTCTTGTGTATCGGGCAGCTCCCGGCAAGGACAGGTGCTGCGTGTGATTAGTACGCAGTGGGTCCATGCGGGTGCGGGTGAGCGTACTCGTACGCTGACAGGATGGATCCTGTCTGCGTCCGAGCCAGGAAACACGCACCCGTACAGAGCTGCACTTGAGGTGAGTGTAGGGGGGCGTACGGCCGCGTAGTCCCATAGGGAAGGACGGGGGCTGTGTACTAGAGCTGCAGCTAACGATTATTTTCAAAATCGATTAGTTAGCCGATTATTAAGTTCGATTAATCGGTTAATCGGATAAACTATAAAATAAAGTTTAAAAAATGGCTCCAGTGATAGGACTACTAGTTTGTATTAAGGTTGTAGTCCATCACAGGAGCAAGCTTGGACCGGTGGAAGTAAAAAAGAAAAAAAGATAGTGTGGTGTGCAATATAGTGAAATGGAAAGTGTAAAATTATACAGCAATGCATGCAGAATGGCAACGGCTATAGAGGACTACAAAACCCAGCAAAAGCACATTATACAGCACAATGCAGAATACCGCCAGCTATAGAGGAATACAACAAATCCCAGCAATAGTACATAATAGCTGGCGGCATTCTGCATTGCGCTGTATAATGTACTACTGCTGGGTTTTGTAGTCCTCTATAGCTGGTGGTATTTAGCATTGTACCACTTTATAATGTATTGTTGGTGGGATTTGTTGTACTCTTCTACAGCTGGTGGTATTCTGCATTGCGCTGTATAATGTATTATTGCTGGGACTTGTAGTCCTCTATACAGCGCAATGCAGAATATCACCAGCTATAGAGGAGTACAACAAATCCCAGCAATACATTATACATACAGTGTATAATGTATTGCTGGGATTTGTATTCCTCTTTAGCTGATGGTACATTGCTCTGCATAATATACAGTACAGCACAATGTACCATCAGCTATAGAGAAATACAAATCCCAGCAATACATTATAGAGCACCATGTGTGGGAAAGTGCAGGCTTACCTGAGCAGTCTTCCAGCAACTTGCTTCTGAGATCGGACCTGTCTATCAGCGGCTGTCATCCCCCCACACCTGCTCCTCCTTACTACATCTCCCCGCGTGCCTTGCCGATCGTGGATGGGCAGGAAATGTGAGGCGGGGAGGAGGTGCGACGTGTGGAGCGTGGATGCGAGCGGGTCTGGCAGCGGCGAGCGCGAGGTGGGGAGGAGGTGCGGTGCACAGCGTGTGGAGCTGTGAACAGGGCCAACTGATCAGGAAGCCGATTATTCGATTATTGAAAAAGTTGACAACTTTTTCAATAATCGATTATGTCGATTAGTTGTTGCAGCCCTACTGTGTACTAATCACACGCAGCACCTGTCCTTCCCGGGAGCTGCCCGATACGGCTGTGCACGGAGCTGTACGTGCCGGCCTTTTCTCGTGTGAATGAGCCCTTAATGTTATTAATTTTCATTATCCAGACATTGTCCGGTATGGGTCAGATCAATCGAATAGTTTCCAAATGCTGCCAAAATCCTGCACCAACCACAGTATAATTTCAGTGGAAGCCATTCGGTCTCTCTGTAGTTTATCCGGCTGGGCAGTCCATTGCTGGAAGCAACGAAGAGAAAAAAATCTATATTTATTAATCCGATTAGACAACTGCTGAAAGCTGACCTGTGATTGGTCGGTATAAACTCTTCCTTGTTATTTGTATACCGTTATTAAATGAAACCTATGAGAATAATTTGTTAGAGGGTAAGTTGAGAGATTCTGTAGAAATCTGATGAAACAAGGGTCATGCGGTAACGGCTAAATGAGTTGTATTTGCGAAAAAAGCATTGAATTAGCTGCGTGACATTTGGAGTCAATGAGAAAGCAACGTCTAAGTGTCCGCCTTCTGTGCTCCTGCTGCAAACATCCTGTCGCTGTTCATCTCACGTTCGTCTGAGAGCCCCAGCCTACGTCAGCAAACACAATCATCAGCGACGTCAAGTGTAGATGGGAATATTCTGACATATGAAGAGGCTCTGGTATTACAGCCTCGCATTCTCTAAGGGTTTCAAGGCACAGAATCTCATAAGTCCCCCCTCCGCCCTTCCTCTTGCTTGTCAGATTTTGTTCCAACACGTCAAAGCTCTGCTTGTGAAAAACAACTGTGTCCTTCTAGCGGTATATGCCGGGTACCTGTAATTACCAAATAATGATATCTGATAGCAGTGGACACTTGGGTGATGCAGTTATTGTTAGGGAAGATGACATTTTTTTTCTTTGCAAATGTGGGAGCTCTTCCAGGAAGATGGAAAGTGAGTGATGACAGGAACGGAGTGTAGAGGGTAATGGGGAGAGGTGGTCAGTGTAGAGGGTAATGGGTAAAGGTGGGGAGTGTAGAGGGTAATCGGGAGAGGTGAGGAGTGTAACAGGGAGAGGTGGTGAGTGTAGAGGATAATGGGGAGAGATGGTGAGTGTAGAGGATAAAGGGAAGATGTGGGGAGCGTAGAAGGTAATGGGGAGAGGTGGTGAGTGTAGAGGGTAATGGGGAGAGGTGGGGAGCATAGAAGGTAATGGGGAAAGGAAGTAAGTGTAGAGGATAATGGGGAGAGGTGGTGAGTGTAGAGGGTAATCGGGAGAGGTGAGGAGTGTAGAGGGTTATGGGGAGAGGTGGGGAGTGTAGAGGATAAAGGGAAGATGTGGGGAGCGTAGAAGGTAATAGGGAGAGGTGGATAGTGTAGAGGGTAATGGGGAGAGTAATAGGGAGAGGTGGTGAGTGTAGAGGGTAATGGGGAGAGGTGGTGAGTGTAGAGGGTAATGGGGAGAGGTGGTGAGTGTAGAGGGTAATGGGGAAAGTTGGGGAGTGTAGAGGGTTATGGGGAGAGGTGGGGAGTGTAGAGGATTATGGGGAGAGGTGGTGAGTGGAGAGGGTTATGAGGAGTGTAGAGGGTAATGTGGAGAGGTGGTGAGTGTAGAGGATAAAGGGAAGAGGTGGGGAGCGTAGAAGGTAATGGGGAGAGGTGGTGAGTGTAGAGGGTTATGGGGAGAGGTGCTGAGTGAAGAGAGTAATGGGGAGAGGTGCTGAGTGTAGAGGGTAATGGGGAGAGGTGGGGAGTGTAGAGGGTAATGGGGAGGGGTGGGGAGTGTAGAGGGTAATGGGGAGAGGTGGTGAATGCAGAGGGTAATGGGGAGAGGTGGTGAGTGTAGAGGGTGATTGTGAAGAAGAGGTGAATGGAAAGGATATGTGGACAGAGGTAACAGGAAAGAGAGCGTGTGATTGGAAAGGGCAGGAGGTGAGGGTGCAATGTGATTGGAAGGTGGTAGGAGGTGAGAGTACATTGTGATTGGAAGAGGGTGGGAGGTGTGGGCGCAGTGTCATTGAAAGGGGAAGAAAGTAATTGGAATGGGGCAGTACATTGTGTTTGGAGGAGGGCAGAAGGTGAAGGTACATTGTGATTGGAAGGAGCAGGAGATGAGAGTAGAGTTTGATCGGAAGGGGCAGGAGGTGAGGGTACAATGTGATTGGGAGAAGGTGAGAGATGAGGGTACAATGTGATTGGGAGAGGGTGGGAGGTGTGGGCGCAGTGTCATTGAAAGGGGAAGACAGTCATTGGCAGGGGGCAGTACATTGTGATTGGAGGAGGGCAGTAGGTGAGGGTACACTGTGATTGGAAGGGGCAGGAGATGAGAGTAGAGTTTGATTGGTAGGGGCAGGAGGTATGGGTTACAGCATGAATGGAGGAGGGCAGAAGGTAAGGTGGCGTGATATTGGAAGGGGTAAGGGGTGAGTCAGAGTGTGATTGAAAGGGAGCTTAAAGATCATGTGAGTGAGGTATGTGGACTAGCATGAGTGATGTGTAGGGAAAAAATGGCTAATAACATGGGTGATCTATAGAGTAAATGTAGGAGTATAGTGTAAGAAGCGGAGATAAGCTAAAGGTACGTGAGGTGTATGCGTAATAAGAGTTTGGTGAGGAATGGTTGTTGGAATGAAAGAAAGTGTGATGTTATAGACTGAAAATAGATTCAGTGAAGTATGCGGAAAAGCATGAGTGATGTGTAAGGAAAGAATGGTTATTATAGCAACGTTAATATGTAGAGTACGTATTGCACTAGTGATGAGTAATACACACTGTGAAGAACAAAATAATGTCGGTGACTATTGGGATTTTCATACAAATATGTGTATATATATATATGTGTGTGTCAGGGCTTTGTCTCTTCCTGTCATCATGGTGGTCACCTAGGCTGCCCATTACATTAGAGGACTAATAAGAAGCCTTGGGCCCGTGTAACACTAGCCAGACAGTCTGCCATTTATAGAATTGTTGTTAAAGGTTCCTTCACCTTTTCTCATGGAGTGTTGTCCTTTGGGTAAAGACGGAGTTGCACTTAGCTGATCCTGTCATTGGGGAGATGCCACCAGCATAAGACTTGACAGTGTGACGGGGCCCATTTACAGGAATAGTGAAGACTTGCATATAACTGCAGTTTTATATATCTTCTGATCTGTTGATTATTTATTATGTGGTTTTTCACTAAAAGCAACCTCTGTTTATGCATTTTGTCATCTTACGCTCAGTTTGAATTCCTATGAATTGTATGTCAGTTGTTCCCAATTATAAAAAACATTAATTTTTCTCTTTTATTGATTCCTCAGGCTGCCTCTTTGATCTGAGGCTCTGCTCCAAGGAGGAGGTCTGTGTACAAGGTGGGTCTTCCTACTCATGTATCCTGATATAGAATATTGATATCGGATACAGACCAAGTGGGACTTCTAGTCTGATCCTTTTCCTGTTAGAGCAGAACTGCAAGCCAAACACACAGTGAAGTCATAATTACACCATAGAAGTTATGGCTTACGTGAATTCTGTTCTTTGGCAGAAGGATTAAAGCGGACCTTTAGACTCAAAAATCTACAAAACAATTCGACCAATGCATGCCATATAGTGTACTTCACGTCATGTCTGAAACCTAGAGTTGTATTCAGTTTTCTTTATGTCTGCAACTTTCATTAAAATAATTCCTGGTGGTTTTACCATAAGGGTCCTTGTTCAGGAACATCTTGTTGGATGGTGAGAACTGTATCCCGAATGTGCTGCTGCCTTGTCACATGGGTAACTGGTGAAGACTATAAGCCACCTTGGGGACACACATCAGACCAATGTCACTATCAGGAAGCCGGTCCAGTTAAATGAGGTGCATCCCATAATGAAGCGAGTGCACTTAAAGGAGAACTATGGGGTCAGTGTTTTTCCCCATAGTTCTCCTTAGGGTAACGGGAGGACACAAACTAGCGTCCTCCCGTCACCCTAAGCCCAGTATACCGCAAGCTACAGCTCGCGGTATACTGAGATGCCGCAGCTGCTGCTCGCGGTATACTGAGACGCCGCAGCTGAAGTGGATCCCATCAATTATGCCTGGATCCGCCCAGCTGCGTGAGTGACAGCTGGCTCTGCCTATCTAGAGTCAGAGCCAGCTGTACCCGCCCATTCCGATCCGCCAGTCAGCGTTGGAGGATCGGGGAGGTGGGAATCCAGCCCCTCCCCTGTCATGGCAGAGAGCCGTGACAGGATCGAGAGGTGAGCGAACTCCGGTATGTGTTCGCTCACTTCTCGATCTACTGAGCCGACCTGTGACAGTCTCATTGTCACAGGTCGGCTAGAACTACGAGGTGAGTAAAAGCACTCACCTCATAGTTCTCCTTTAAACAGGAAATGGCTGATAGAGGCTGGAAATCAGCAAAATATTATGAAAAGAAATGTGCATATAAGATTTTATGGGCGAGAAAATGGCATTTTGGTTATAATAAACGGTGCTTTAGCAAACGAAATGTTGTCCAGTTTGGGTTTTACATTTATTTTAAAGCCCAACCCTGGGCTCAACCCCTCCGCCACCCAGTCATCCTTTTTCAGACATCTTTATGATGGTCAGAACGGTCACATGATGTACTGGGTCTTCTTCCTCTTTACCTCTTCTTCATCCCAGGGTGGTCCTCTACTAATGCAAAGAATGGCACTGACATCATGACATCACTGCCGCTCTGTGCTTCAATGCACTGTGAACAAAGGGTGCAGGGGTCACACCCTTTTAGGGGACCGGGCTATGACACCCAATGATGTATAGTATGTTCTTATTCTTACAGGTATAATTATGCTGGGTGTTTTCAGCCCCAAAAAAGTACTGTAGGGGTCAGCTTTGGATTGAAGATGATTATTGCAGCCTGGGCTTCTTTTTTTAGTCATGTACCCTGCCTGGGGCCAATTTAAACAAAAATCTTTTGGCTGGTTAAGACACAACCTTCCCTACTTTGACCAACAAAACTTTTTGGCTATACATTAGGGATGTCTCGATACTAGTATCGGTGCCGATAACAGGCATTTTCACAAGTACTTGTACTCGTGAAAATGCCCCGATTCTTAAGTCCGATACCGGACAAATAGCAGCGGCCGTCCGAGTTCCCGCGCTTGTGGGGACCTTGGCACCCTGCTGGGGCCCTGCAGATAGCTGTCCATGGCAGTACCTTTCTGGTTCTTTATCTCCTCCTTCCTGGCGCAGGCACAGCCATGGACAGCCCTGGGGGCGGAACTAACGCCCCGGGGCTAGGAGCTGGGGTTTCCTGCCGCACACTGACAGGGAGGACTGGGCCGGGAGATGGACAAAAGTTGCGGGGCCCAGCAGCGCAGAGAGTCATCCGGACTGGACGTGGGGGAGGCTGGGTCCCGACATCGCTGGTGACGTGGAGTGCCCGCAGAGCCACTGCAGATGTCCAAGTCACCCAGTGAGATCAACACGCAGCTTGGTGAGAGCAATTCTGCTTTGGAGACATGTATTCGCAGAACACATGTTCCCAAAGCAGAATACATGTCCCCGAGTACAGGGACAGTACTTGCAGTTGCACTTGGCCTTAAAAAAGTGGTATCGGGACATCCCTACTATACATTCATGTTAATGACTCTGCCTGTGTGTCTTTAATTTATTTTTTTTCAGATGGGTTATTCGGTCAGTGTCGGGATCGTTCGGAAAGGGACGTGGGACAGTTTCAGGTGTCTCCTAGAACTCTGCAACAGTTACAAGGCATTCTCCGTCGTCTGTCAGCCAAAGGTAATCAGTAACCCAAAAACAATCAGCCGTGAAATCCGGTCCACCATTCCTGTGCAATTACAGAAAAAAAAAGATGACTGCATTTTCTCATGATTTAAGGAAGCGGCTCCGCTCTGATTGATTGAATTGCAAAGCTCGGTGTCATTTGCATTTTCTCCCAGAGTGACTTGCTGCATCTTTTCTTCTGATTTTCCCCTTTTTTATTTTACGAAGAATGATTTCGCCCGGCCACACAATTAACTTCTAGCCGACATTTCTAGATTACTATCTATCACCAGAGCAAAGAATGCATAAGAAATAAAGGATATGCAAAGCAGGCCGGCTGTAGAATTAAAGTGACTTTTTTTTTTTTATTGGTGGTCATAGGGTTGTCTTGGAAGGATGATGTGACGCAGCGAGTGATGGCTCATGAAATGGGCCGCATCCCGCAGCACAAAGCTCTGCAGCCTTTCGATCTTTTGGATGAAGAGAGGTATGTTATGATATTAAAGGTACACTCCATTCTGGACTGAAAATGAAGGCTTGAAACGCCAGGGAACTCAGCTTCTGTTCATCATCCAGGCATGACTGTAGTACAGCAAGCCTCTCTGTCCCATTATATGTCCTAGCCAGTGGCAGAGCTAAGGAACAAAGGGCCCTGGTACAAGATTTTTTTCTGTGCCCCCTCCCCCAGTCCCCTCTTCCTGCTCCCAAGCCCGCTCAGAAGCTTATTGGCCCATGCAACCATACCTCCTCCAATGTAGGGGGGGCCTGGGACAGGATCTCTCTGGGCCCCCCCCCCCCGCCCCCGCCCCCCC